AGTAGGTGTGTCAGAGACGGGTTGGCTCAAGAGAGCAGGGTTCAGAGCTGTTGTATATAGTGTCTCTGAATCGTAAGCAATTCAGTGGCACATAACTGTGTAAATCACATAACAGGTTATCTGGCTTTTAGCTAGTGTCATACAGTGTCTGCTGTTTCAGTATGATTAATACTTGCCACACTTAGGGGCATTCTTAAATCTATATCAAAGACTATTTAATATCTAATATCCTAAGCCAACTATGGTCAGAGCAAACTAATGTATATTAGAAATGAAGCTGTTATTCTTCCTCTTGATAATAATGTATGAGTGATTACTGAAAACCCAAAATATAGACATGTTTGAAGATACGTTCTGTAGTTTTAAAGCCATTGGGATAAAAATCTTAACACCACATATATAAAATAGAATTTTATTACTGTATCCATTTTTATTTGCTAGAGCCTGTACTAGCAAAGTGTTTGGGGCTTTTTTGAGGAGTAAAGAAATAACTTTCCTCCTATTTTCATCTAATAGTTTATTAAACATTAAACTGTAAGTAGTATATTAAGTGATGAGTATACAAGAGAGCAAAATTGAATCCTTTGTCATCCTGTGGAACATAGACCCTAAACAGGCAAGTTTAAAATTATGTCGTTTTTCCATTAACCTCAAAGACGAGTTGGATGATGTTGTGTATGTACCATTGATTTGGAACCTACTTGTAACTGACACTCTAGCGGGTTTTCTGAGGCAGTACATTGCATGGGAAGAGATTTCTTCCATGGAGCAGCTAGTGGTTTCAAACCACTTACTTTAGAGGTGGCAACTCAAACCTTACCACTAAGCCACCAGAGCTTCGTAGTGAATGGTTGATGTTGTGTATCAAGTTGGAACTGGCCTAATTGAGTTTTCAGAGGCAGTTAATAACATTGGAGGAGATTTCCCATCCTACTGCAAAGGAGCTGGAGGCACGAACCGCGTGCCTTTGGAAATAGAGTACAGCAGGACGTTTACGTACATTTTGTTGAAGAAGAGGATCATTGCTGCGACTTAGGTCTCAGAACACATAAAAAACTTTCAATCAGTGCTGGGAGGTGTAGGGACATTAGGGAGGAAGTATACTTAGCTGCTGAGAAGTTACTAGTTCTAAGCTACCAGTGGCTCTAGAAGAGACCTGGAGATCTACTCCCATAGAAATAGTTGTAGTTATGTACTGTTGAGTCAGAACTGGGAGCCATAAAAATTTACAGCCTAGTAATGCCTATGGACCGGTTGTGTTTTGTCATTTATGGTTGCATTGAGTCAGTATTGACTTGTAGGAGCAACAAAATATGTGTGTTAGAAAAGTACAAAGAGTGTCTATCAAACAAGGGCAGAGGTAGTATAAATCAGATGGCATAATTTGACAGTAGGCTATTTTGCAACATGATGAATGTGGGTGAAGTCTTCCAACTTTATGGTAAAAGTTGTTTTAAAAAGCAAATAAGGGTCATTAAAGGAAGATTTAGTCAGGTGAGAAAGGAGATTCATAGTAGAAAGGTCTATTTCTGTAATAATGATTTTCGGGTTTATTACCTGAAAATGTAGTTTGTAGGCTAGAATTTTGAAGCTTCATCTCACATACTTTGGACATGTGGCCAAGAGACAGATCCTTGAGAAGGACATCATGCTCAGAAGGGTGGAGGGACGACACAGGAGAGGAAGAGCCCAATGAGATGGTAAGTGGGGCAATGTCGGTAGGTGTGTTGGAGTCAGTGAGACTGGCTCAGGACAGGGCAGGCTTCAAGCTATTGTACATAGGTTCACTATGAGTCACAGGGGACTTTATAATAACAATGTTTAGCATAGGAGACCACCCATCTTCCTGAGTGTCTCACAGATTTTCCTGTCAACATTTTTGGGTTTATTTGTTTTGGTTTTTGCTACTAGCCTTACTGTGCTACCAGTTCTCCATAAAAAACAAAAACAACAACAAAAAACCCAAGAAACTATATAGTCTATAAAAGTTTGTTTAGAATAAACTTTAAAACACTTTTTGGTGTAGAATTCTTTTCTCTCCGCCCCCTCCAAAATCTCATTTTCTGTTTTATTTAATCATTCTCTCTCACTGTTTTTGAGTTGGAATGGATTCCTAGCAACCCCCCTAGGAGATCTTCAGAGGCTATACATTGCTGGGAAGGAGATTGTCCATCTACCGTGTAGTGGCTGTTGGATTTGAACCCCCTAAGTTCAGATTGACAGTTCATCAGCTAACGTACTAGCCCACTAGAGCTCCTTTTAATTATGTTTATGCTTTCTAAATGGTTTTGTCAGTAATGATAACTATTCCTACAGAAAAAGTTTTCTGTAGCTAATTGAATGGGAAGTTTTCAGAATAAACAAAGTTTTTTAAATAACAGAATTTCCCACAGACTTAAATGTCAGAGTGCTTTGTTCAGGATTGTAGTCTATGTAATTTCTTTTATCCATACTGTTAAAACTCTTCCTCCTACAGTACTTGAACTAGTACTGTTGGTTAACCATTTACTTTTGACCTGGTTGTTAAAATTTGATCAGAGTGACACTACAGCTCCTTTTTTGTTTATGACAGAAGTTTACTATATGGTAAAGGGGAAAGGTCTTCTTTCTTAGCTTGAGAATCATAGGATGACTATTAGCCAGCTTCTTTAAACTAATATTCATGGTTTTTGATAGTTAAATTCAGTAAGAAGAAATGGGTACAGAGTCTCCATGGGGTCAGATATTTGATGCCTCCACTTCTGCCCAAATAATACCTGAAGGAATTAATACTAAAATTTTTAACTTGGTGAAATTGTGAGTTAGTATTTCAGTTCATATTTTTTCATTCAGGTCTCCTTGACACTTTTAAGTCCAAAGAGGTTTTGTTTCTGTGGATTATACTCTATTGATATGTTAGAAATTATAATGAAGTCATTTAAAAATATTATTTTAAAAGATACAAATCCATTTTGCATTAATGTAAATAACACTTTGATATTCTAAAACCAAATTTTCCGTATTTGACTTAGAAAACAGCTTGATTCACCTATTTTCACCTTATTTAATCTGTTTTTATTACATCTGGAAAGTACTATGCACTCATAAGGAAAAAAGAAAAATACAAAACTTCTAGTCTTCATAGTTCATAATATGTCAGTTTTTACTTCAGGAACACCCAAAGGTTCTCTGAATACGTTTTAAGAAGTGCTCTGAGCTATTTGTGTATTACAATGTGAATTTATAAATAAATTTATAATAATGCCTAAGTACAAAGTTATAAATGATACAGTTTCTTTAGATTATTTTGTTAATATTTGTGTATTTATAAGAGTTTTAGAGATAGGTGATAGAAACATTGGCTGTTTCATGTCATGGTTTTATTTTTTTTTTATTATTATTAAATTTTATTCGTTTTAATGAACATTTACAGGGATTTTGGGTTTTCATTCCTTCATTGCTGCACCATTCTCTCTACCCTCCTCCCCAGTTTGTTCTTCTTCCCCACCATCCGAATGTCGGTTTTAATTGTCCA